ATTTTCAACAGTCGCGCTAAAACAAACGCTATATCTCACGTGGCCAACAATATTTTGTCCGCATACATTCAATTACTCATTACACTGATGTCCCGTCACGTTGTGAGCATCTTATATATATACCAGACTAACATATATCTAGTAAATGCTAGGGCATTCTTGAAGGAACAGGATATTTCTAGAAATACGTGGCGTGATACTAGTCACGTGACCTCACTGACGCAACAATAACTTTAAACAACACACGCACTGATTGTTAATAAAATATTCAAACAAAAAACCAACTACGGCCTCTAGAACGGAATTGTTGAATATCTATTAATATCAATGTGCATTTAGATGTACAAACACTTCACATGATAGCCCCACTTTACAACACCCAGCATGCCTCCAGACCAATGTTCCCTCTAATTTTTTTCAATCCATGTGCGGAATGAATTTCTTCTTGTGCACCAGTATGAAGGCAATGTGCGGATGTGTGATACCAGTTTTTTTTTGTTGTTGTTGTTTGATTTTTTTTAGGGGTGGATGGGTATTTTTTGATCATCGACCCTATTGGATTGTTAAGCCACTTTGCAATGGTACCAGTTGGTTATTTGGACTTCAGGCCTATCGACTGCCAGGATCATTAAGGTCGTGAACGTGTTGAGACTCCTCACCATTACTGGGGATGTGCGCGGCTGGAATAATGAAGTGCGCGGCACTTGATTGGTTGTTGTGCGGCCGCGCAGCCTAGAAGGAACACTACCACAGACCAATATATGGACATATACTTCAAAAGTTCATAAAATGGCTCTCATCACTCCAGAATATCACGAGTAATCGATAAGATTCCAGAACGAACAGGCTTCATTTCATATTAAATGTCGTGGAAAGTAGTCTTGAGATTAAATACCTAGGTAACGTGTTTCTTTATTTATTTATATTCACTGAATCCTTTGTATAGTTTATGCTAAGCATGTAATGTCACATGTTCAAGGGGTGTCCCAAACACTCATGAAGGAGCAGTATATATCAAAAGTCATTAGTTCTCCCCCTACTGTATAACAATGGTCACTGATTCCATTATTACTAAATCTCATTAATAATTGTATCAATACAGATGTTATTTTTCTAGATATGTTAAAGATATACACATATCATTATGTTTATTGGTTTTATTATTACTTTATAACTACATTCATCAGTTATCAAAGCTTACAAATATAAATCATTATTTAGATATATAGTTTACAATGTAATCATAATCACAACTTATTGTTACTAAGATTGATTAAAGTAACGTAAAGTGTCGTTTAAAAGGTTTTGATATCGTTTCTCGATTTTCTGAAGAAGAGTGAGGTTAAAGTTGTTGTTGTTTGTTATTAAGCACAAAGCTACACAAAGGGCTATCGGTGCTCTGCCCACCACGACTATCGAAACCCGGTTTCTAGCAGTACAAGTCTGCAGACTAGGGGGCGTTATATAAACGAATAGCTATTTACAGTTACGTCTTGTAGTTCAAACACTTTAAAATGTGTTGTTATGGTTCAACTTTGTATTCTGTTGTATTGTTTCTTGTAGTCACGGTTGGTCATTAAAGTTAATTGTATTGCTTCTAATAACTATAGTTCATCTTTACATTATGTTACATTGTTCCTATAATATGTCAATCTTTATTTACATTGTAATGCATTGTTGCTTAAAGGCACGGTTGACCTTTAAAGTAAGTTGTATTGTTTCTAATATATGATCGAACTGTAGTTGTATTTGTTACGTCTCTGTTCGTTTGTTAATTTCCCGTAAAACTTCTCTCCGAGAAACTTCAGCGATACAAGTCCTTTCTTTAAATAAAACTAGTTTATTCTTTCTCAGTACAACTTTGCAATACACAGAATTTCCATAGTCACTTTAACTTAAACACACGCTATACTTCACAACGATTCACGCACTTTACTTACGGTCACTACCGCTCACTTGACTCAATTATCTGTCTCTATATCTCTCTTCAATCTGCTATCATCTCCGCTTTATTTGCCGGGCTTATATATTAAAATATATTAAAAATGATCCTTCTAGAAACTCATGTCGTATTACCAGCGTCACGTGAATTCCGCTGTCGTAACATATTGTTTCTAATAACTATGGTTAATCTTTACATTGTTGAGTGCATTCTTAGAACAATGGCTGATCTTTATTTTACAACCTAGTAATTCTCTACTTCATTATTAGAAACATAGAAACCTTTCAACCTACATAATATGAAAACAGGTTTCGCAAGTCTTCTTACGGCACGAAGTCGCTCAGACAATGAAATGCTTTGATTACGAGATTTAAAAAAATGAAGAGACACGAATAAAGTCCTATAGCTACAGCAGAGTAAAACATTTACAAAATTCATGTCAAGCTGTCCGACCAACTACGTTAAAAATCCCGATCCTCCAAACACACGGTAAACCCTTTTCACTTCCGTACCCCTGGAATATTTCTGGTAAGATATACGCAGTATATTCACTAAAATGCTAGTCTCGTCCTGAGACGGATGCCTTACACATGAAATTCAGCTTTAAAAGTACGTATTCAAATCTATTTTGATATAAGACTCCAATGTTCAGGTACAGCCTGAATTGCTGACCAAAGGAAGGGCAACTAATCAGAAGTACCCACCGCCTACACATCTACTCTTAACAGAACACATTTAAATGCCAGATAATGTGTTGTAAAAGTTTAAGACAGGTTTGATGTGCTTTTATAAGAAATATTTAGTGCATAATTTATAACTGTTAACGACAAAAAAGTTTTAATTTCTCACGTTGCTTGTTACACCTAACGTTAACAACAATAATATTTTAAGTTAACAATCTATTTTATTCAGTTCCTTGTTTTATAAACTTCGGTAGTCTCTTCATAATTGTATTGTTTGTTTGTTTGTTTTGAATTTCGCGCAAAGCTACACGAGGGCTATCTGCGCTAGCCGTCCCTAATTTAGCAGTGTAAGACTAGAGGGAAGGCAGCTAGTCATCACCACCCACCGCCAACTCTTGGGTTACTCTTTTACGAACGAATAGTGGGATTGACCGTCACTTTATAACGCCCCCACGGCTGAAACGGCGAGCATGTTTGGTGTGACGGGGATTCGAACCCGCAACCCTCAGATTGCGAGTCGAGCGCCCTAACCACCTGGCCATGCCGGGGCCTCAAGATTGTAACTTAAATTATACATTCATAATAAAATATCTCAGACACCAACAACTTTTTTTTTTACCTCAGCTTAGATAATACTATAAGCTGACTAACCTAACCCCCTGGCGGTAGCTTTTATTGTACAAATCTAATTAAATAAGTAAACCTACATTTCACGCAATAAGCACTAATTAGATTTAAATATTTAAACGAATTATATCGTCAGAATAACGTAATTTTTTTATTATTATCCTGTCGAAGAAGCATCTAAAACGTGTGAGATGATGCCTAACACCTATAGTAAAGGTAACATATAATTAGGTCATAAATACATATACTTGTATGTTTGGCTGGTGGCTGAATCTAGTTGGTAGATGTACTTGACCTCAATTAAAGGTCAACGTTAGTTAATTAATAAGTTTTCAATTAATTACCTTTATATCTACTGAATGTTAACATAATTATGCTATACAAATATAATTGACATAAAAGCTGCTTAAAAATAGTACATGCAAAACAACACTGGCAGCTCAAAATTCTGCTAACAAACTTGAAATATAATTACTACCATGTCAAAGGTCGCAATAAATACTTATTCGGTTGAAATTACCCCCCCCCCCCCACCCACACACACAGTAACTCTGCGGTAAGTCTAAGTAGATATCCTAAATATTAAAAGTAAAACTAGCTTCCATTTTTAAAAATACAGATCCTGCCATTCTGAATTTGATGATTATATCAATAACATGATACTCAAATCGATATGTAAACAAAATAGAGGAAGTATTATTAACTTTTTCTTCTGAACAAAACGATTTAATAACAACAGAGACCTCATTGATCAAATGAAAACCAATGCAGTAGCAGTACAAAGAATGAAGAACCAGCTTGGAAATAAAATTAAAAAAACCTACCAGGATATGTGACGCGTGTATTTTTAGTATTAACAAAGACTATTGTGAAGCTTGTAAAATAATACATGGCAGAATGTTTTATGAAGAAGGGGGATGCCAACATGGTGACTTGTGTTCCCCAAGATATTTCAGACATTTGTATTGTTCTGTATATAATTGTTATGATATCGAACGTCAGTGTAATAAATCCTAATGAAAATGTTTACACAAACAAAACCTTCGTCCTGTGTCCTAAAATAAACTTATCGCTGCTGCTAGATAAATCAGAACTGACCTTTGTCATGTCAATGAAAACTTCGTCTAATATATAGCAACACTGCTTCAAACCATGTGTTAGTTTCGAAGCATTATAACATGAGATATGTAAAATAATAATTAGACATTAGTGTATAATGAAATCCCATACATTTCTCGTGTTTAAGCAGATATTAAAGGAAGAATTGAATTGACCTTTCATTTTGAAAATTATTCTTAGCCAACTGACACAGCCTGAACATCTGACCTTTTGCTATACGTTGAACACAATATGCAATAATTGTATTTTAACTGAAAAGTCTGTCCTATATTTAGAATATACATGTAGTGTTTTGTATCGCTATGTAATGTGAAAGAAGAATTTTACTGACTTTTAGTTTCAGTGACATACAAAAACTTTAGTTAAAGTATGGTGAACATTAAATCTATATTTCTTTGTTTGTTTTTTGAATTTCGCGCAAAGCTACACGAGGGATATCTGCGCTAGCAGTCCCTAATTTAGCAGTGTAAGACTAGAGGGAAGGTAGCTAGTCATCACCACCCACCGCCAACTCTTGGGCTACTCTTTTACCAACGAATAGTGGGATTGACTATCACATTATAACGCCCCCACGGCTGAAAGGGCGAGCATGTTTGGTGGGATGCGGATTCGAACCCGAAGATTACGAGCTGAGCTCCCTAACCACCTGGCCATGCCGGGCCTTAAACTTATGTAGAGTTTGAACAGTATATTTTCAATACTAAGTATAATATAAATTTATAGATAGCGACAACGTGTTATAATTTACTTTTATTTTATCTGAAATAGGAAGTCATCTTTGTCATGTATGTCAACGACTTTTCTCTCTATTCCATATCTTATTTTCCTCTGTCTACTCTTCCCACGTGACGACTTTTGTTTTTCCTAACAGTCAAGAGTTAGCTAGTTTGACGTCAGTGTACAGATTGTGTGTCTGATATTTCCTAACCGTGTCTTAACCTTAGTTTCAATGCTTTATGAATTTTAATAGAAAATGGATGGATAAACAGTAGGTCATTCCTTTAATACTTTTTAGTTGCACCAAAATGAATTATCCTCATTCAACTAATGAATAACAGCAGATTTGTTAAAATCCTATAGACAGTAAGATTGTCGTTAAAATTAGGGTTTTGACATAATTAAATCTAGACATTGATGATGTAATCATATGTGGAAGCATAGTAACACCATCCACTCTTGTAAAACTCGTGTAAGATAAAACTATAGAGTAAGTTATATGGAAAGTTATGTGGATATCATAAGTCAAACTAGTGAAACAGTAAATTTTAAATTATAGCGTGATATTTATATAAGCATCTTTTTTGAGTGTGATTTACATATAAGTGGTCAGGAAATGTAACTAAATATAGAATTATTATAAACATAGCCATGTTGAGACACGTTAATACATGTCCTGTGAACATCATTGTCTCTGATGTCATGAGTGCCTGTCATGGCAGCCTAGCAACGTACCCTCTCTGATGATATCATTGCATAGCGCCAGCGCCCTCTGTTTTCACTTCATGGAAGTATTACATTATCTTTTCTGACATTCCTTTGTCACCTCTGCCTATTATGGCAGCCTAGCAACGTGCACCTCTCTGATGACATCATTGTCTCTACCCCTTCCTTCCCTCCCCTATTGTCTGAGGTCGACATGCGTGTAGCGCCCTCTAACGGTGTGCCTTGCAAGTGCTGCCCTAACTACTAACACATGAGCATGCTTACCCCTAGTTCTGGACAATCCTTGATGCTCCCGGCGATGTAATCCATGTTCCGAGTGACCACACTTCCATTATAACACATGTGAATGTTTTCGGTAAACCTCTGCTCTATCTCTGCCAGCGAGAAAACACACAGGGCCGACATTCGGGCAGGTTGAAAAGTGTGGTCAGTAGCACTTTTAGTAAACACGCCGACTAAAACATCAGTTTCTTTAGGGATCTGACACATATTTGCCAAGTTAGAGCCTGCAGCAACAACACTGGCATCCTGAAGTATATTGTAATCGGTACCATCTTCGCCAAGACACTGCAAAGTTACTTCGGTATAAGTGCTATAACCAGCATCAGACGCACATACACGCGCCAGTCTAGTGATGTATCCCCATTCCTCCAGCGCCCTCAAATGAGATTTTCTTTGAACAGTACTAAAGTAAACAAAATCTCCAGAGGAGAACCCATAGATGTAATTAACTAGATAATAATCCCTAAGGTGGAAACTGATGTCCACTCGAGCAATAGTAGAAAAAGACTTTTCAATGATCCCAAAAAGTTTGTCTGGTCCATCAACCAGGCTGCGACTAGTAACAGCAGGAACCATATCTCTGTACGGCCCTAATCGACTATTGGTGGCGGCTACGTAAAGAACTTGTGAAATACTGTCAAGATAACGAGCTGGACCAATGAAGGCGTAAGTAGAAGAACTTCCATCATTAGCAGCTACGGAAACTGGAATTAGATCTTCAAAACGTGATATATTTGTCAACTGATGACGTCGACACGCCCCCTGGTGGGCACTTCCACAAACTAGTAGCATACTATTTTTATCGTCAATGACTAGAACTTTATTGAAGTTAGCCGTGTCCGTCGTTTTCTGATTATGACAGTAGTTGGGGGAACACTGGATGCTGTCCAGTACTGGTCCCGTTTCAACTTTAGCTTCCATGATTAAGGAACCGTTGAATTGATATATCCAGTTCGTGGCTCCTACATACACGCGGCCAGAATGGGAGTCTACCGCCACGTGAGTAAAGTTGACAGTTTTGTTAAATGTTCTGTAGACCTTATAGACACTACTCTCTTTCGAAACTTCCGCTTTGCACCACAAACACAACGGCAACAGTAGACACAACACCTCCAGAACATAGAACACATCAATTCTCCAGTGCCTTCGTATCCCCACTCGGCTGTGCGTTTCTCTGACCCCACGAGAGAGGGCGCCATCACACCTCGAGTCTGACATTGTAAGGGACTGTGGATGAAATCCCGGAGGTCAGTGGAAGATTCTCCTTGTCAAATCTAAGAGACAAAACGATTTTAGTGATATGAAAATCTAAACAATATAGAAAAATGAACCACAACAATTACACAACTAAGCTGCTTCTTAAATCACAACAATAAAACTATGACGCTAATCGTACTGCACAACAATACATTTACTTTGGCAAATGTGACATTCTTAACGTAGATACACATTAGTGTATTTTATTCCCCATGTCGACTAACAGCGAATCACAGCCGTAGTAAAATTTATACTTAAATCAAAACCGCATCAATAACTTCAACTGATTTAACGACATTCGTTAAAAATATTATTAATACAAAATATTCAAACATATCTGTCATATTTGTCCGCTTACCTTGTCGCTGAGTGAGTCTTTTTCTGACTGATTATGTAAGATACAGAGATAAATACTAGTCTTAATGCTTAGTCCTCTGCTCGGATTCTTTCTTTTTCTTTTCCGCAAGAGGCGATACGGAGCCTTGAACCGCAGAGTGAAAAAAAAAATGCTAGTTTCATCTCGTACGTACGAGATGTTATCTGGTATTACATATATCATAAAGTACGTAAATAACATCTCTATTGTGTATTGCGCTCGTTACTGAAAGATATATAATTTAAAATAGTAATGGTAACACTCACATGAAATCTTCACGTACGGGAATGGCAGGTGTCACACGCTATAGTAGTAACGCTAAAGGCATGCGGCATCACTGTGTTATTATCTCGTACGTACGAGATGAAACGAGACCTCCAATTTATTTATTTTATTTTTTTTTTCTTCACTTTGCAGTTCAGGGTTCTGTAGGACAAACTTCGTAACTGCTGGGCAAGAATACTTTTAGTTTTAAGCTCATAGATTTTACAGAAGAGAGGAAAGGAATAACTACTACGTGATATGAATGCACGTGATCTGTGTGAGGTACTCTCTATTGATAATTACACCTGTTTTTTTAATCTTCACTTCTTTTTTTTTGGATAACTAATTTCTCCATTTGTCGATTTCGTCGCGGCTAACAAAACTGAAACTGTTTGAATTATAATATACATATAATTAATGCAGACACGTTTTTGGGTGATTTTACAAAGATATTTACAACACTGAAAAATGTACAACTCACTACAACTTGCACACGTAGCGCTTTTCTTGCTAACGAGTCAAAAACTAAAGTTTTGTAAACAAAAGCATTTTTGTATATTAAGTCAAAGCTACACGTGGGGGCTACCTGCCCATTTTTGTATATTAACTCAAAGCTACACGTGGGGGCTACCTGCCCATTTTTGTATATTAACTCAAAGCTACACCTGGGAGCTACCTGCCCATTTTTGTATATTAACTCAAAGCTACACGTGGGGGCTACCTGCCCATTTTTGTATATTAACTCAAAGCTACACACGTTTTGAATCGAAAGACTAGAGAGAATGCAGCTTGTCAACAGCATCCATCACCAACTCTTGGGCTACGTTAAGGGGCTTGGCATGACTTGTGACTAAAGACGGTCGACGAGTTTGAATCCTGTCACCGAACATGCTCGCCCTTTCAGCTGTGGGAGTGTTATAATGTGACAGTCAATCTCACTTTTCGTTGGTAAATAAAGTAGCCCAAGAGTTGGCAGTGGGTAATGTTGACTATCTGCCTTCCCTCTAGTCTATTACTTCTAAAGCAAGGACGGCTAGCGAAAAATAACCCTCGAGTCGCTTTGCGCGAAATTCCAAAAGTAAACAAATACACACACACTATTAAGTGGAACTGTCGGTATGTAAATAAAGTTAATCTTCTGATTGATTGTTACACACCATTAATTGGAACTGTCGGTATGTAAATAAAGTTAATCTTCTGATTGATTGTTACACACCATTAATTGGAACTGTCGGTATGTAGATAAAGTTAATGTTCTGATTGTTTCACACTATGAAGTGGAACTGTCGGTATGTAAATAAAGTTAATCTTCTGATTGTTTCACACTATGAAGTGGAACTGTCGGTATGTAAATAAAGTTAATCTTCTGATTGTTTCACACTATGAAGTGGAACTGTCGGTATGTAAATAAAGTTAATCTTCTGATTGTTTCACACTATGAAGTAGAACTGTCGGTATGTAAATAAAGTTAATCTTCTGATTGTTTCACACTATAAGGTGGAACTGTTGGTATGTAAATAAAGTTAATCTTCTGACTGTTTCACACTATGAAGTGGAACTGTCGGTATGTAAATAAAGTTAATCTTCTGATTGTTTCACACTATGAAGTGGAACTGTCGGTATGTAAATAAAGTTAATCTTCTGATTGTTTCACACTATGAAGTGGAACTGTCGGTATGTAAATAAA